TATCAAAAACGTGAACATCTAAAGGTGTCAAGGAAAGAGGTGAGCTGCAGTTACGAAATCGATTCTTCACGCCAACCGAATTCAAGACCACACACTCAAAATGCTCTCAAAATTGGATCACTCTATTACTGGGGCCACAGATATCTGGCGCTTCATCGCATAAGCATAATCTGAATGAAAAATTAAAAACAGGCGGCTTAAAAACGAGTGTTTTCACTGGATGCATAGTCCATGATCCTTAACTTGCACGTCCATAATGGCATGTGGCCTAAATCTTCCATATAGCAGGTCGGGTGACGCTTCTCTCCATTGCCATGTTATGACCGGTCAACATTTCCAGCATTTCTTTTTTACGGCTGCAGTTACAGCTAGGTTGTCACTGGCGTTCACATCTCATATGAAGACAGAGACATGACAGACGTCAACCTGGAGGTCAGCAGACTGCACAGATGTCCAAGGCATACGGAATTCTGCATTTAAAGGTGAACTTTCTTTAACGATGCATTAAGCAGTGTCTTTCAAAAGTTCAAAACCTGAGAATCCAGCGAAACATAGACATTTCGATTATGCAAATAGGTCAAAGTAATTATCGCAATATTCATGAATGACAACTGTAGCATGTAGCCATCTGTCTTTTTCCAAGAAGTAGTCCTTTTTATCAACTTAGAAGGAAGGGGAAGGAACAGAAAGTCTATCACTGTTGGAATGTCAGTCTTCTTTCACATAATTGGATCATTTTGGAGCGTTTTTCATGATGTTCATGGTATGGTGCTGATTTACATTTCTGTAGCATCAATCTGGAGTACCCTCTTCTAGAGGTAGAGACCATAGCCATATGGCAAGCGTAGCGTGCAATCTCTTGTTTCCTTCCCACACAATGGTACTTATCTACCAACCTCGGATGGAAGAAGAGCGACTGACCCCAACTGAGGCTTGAACTCGCGACCTATCCCTTCTGAGATCAAGCTCTAGCGACCGCGCAACTCCAGTCTGAATCAACGTGTGGTAAATTCCCTGCTCAAAACACTTCGCAAATAAAACAGTTACACTAGAGCTGGAATCGAACCCTCCACCTCTGGGGTTCGGAGGAGACCTTTAAGACAACTGTGCTACCACGACAGAAGGATGACTGCAAATGATTTGAGTGAGGCCCAAACTCACACCTTACGACTGTTAATCTGAAGATCCACGAACTGAGTTGCCGTAGTAAAAATGGACCCAAAATGTAATCACTATCTCTAATGCACGTTTAGCAAAAAATGAGGTCAAATACAAGTACCACACGAAGTCAAAATAGCAGTGCCATATCAAAAGGAATAAGACCACTTTCTCTGAAGCCTAAAATTGCCTCAGGCATAATGCAGGTTCTTTCACAGTTCTGACTGCTGATACTTGAAGAATCAAATTGGAAGCTACGGCGACAAATCACAGCCAGCAAAACGTTTTCTCACCCTTCCATGAATTTTGCATAGCAGATGACATGAACATAGTACATATCACTGTAGATTTGCACTCAGCGAAGAATCACAACTTTGATAACTAGTATTAACTTACAAAATTCAAAGTATCATGAAAATCAAGGGGAACCACAGCCATGCAACATCAAACACCACCTGTAGGAAAACTCGTAAAACATATTCCAAAAAATCAGAAGTGTCCGAACTGATAAATCCGTCACATTGCTCTGCATTTAATAAGCTGTACTTTGACCACTTTCAAAATGACTCATCATGACTAAGATGACAAAAAACGACTTCCATAAGTCATCATGTAAACAAGCAGGTAGACCCTACCTGTGAAATTGAAGCCGAAGAAGACGCAAAATTTAAATAAGGCTTGAGTTTCACAACGAAGGCTCAACTTATTAGGTCGGTCCAAACTGGGTTTTTCATCGCAATCAGAAGAACATGAGCAGATCCAGGGCCACCGAAGCAAGATGAAACTATTTTCGTTTAATCAGTCAAGAGAACGTGGGGGGGTGGGAGCAGGAAGGAAGTTTTTCCTATGTCCAGTGAAAAGCAGCATGTTTGACATTTAAAGGCGGGTTTTGAACGACATGTGTTTGCATTGGCACATCCGCAGGCAGAGCAAACAAAGGTCACGTCCCATTCATGTGGCTTGTTTCCGTTTTTGCGATACGGCAATTTGCCGATTGTGTAAACACACGGAGTTGCTTGCAAACATTTGCTCTTCAGGTGTAAAGTTAACAAAGCACTAACATCATGCTGTTAGTTTCGAGTTTAAACTGGCAAGGGTAGAACTTATCAAAAAATTATCAATTTCCTTTGCAGCAACTTTCACGCCTGTTTTATGCATGCTTAAAGAGTATATTTAACCATTACAGTCTGTCCATCGAATAATAAAATGCAGTCTAATAAAAGAGCTTGAATCCTGAATCAACATCGAGATGACACTAGCTGACAGCATTGAGTAATTCCTGGTTGAAAGAATAGTACCAGGCCGGAATCGTGCCGCAGAATAATATTCAAATAATATATTATGCTATCCATCCAATGAAAAACCAAAGAAGAGCACGTTATGAAGAAGGAGAATTGATGCAGGCTGCAGGACGTCGTCCCCGGCTCTTTTTTTATAGCTGTTGCATTTGAAATGCTTTATTTTACTAACAGACACGGTTTGCAATTTCCCTCTCAGAGTTCACTGAACGCACTGAGGTTCTAAAGTGTTAAGCAAGTGAAGGCAAGGGTCGTTGTCATGATCAAGCATACTCGCGTGGCATCTGTATAATAAAATAGAGAAGGCAAGTCATTCACCAGCCAAACCTAATAGATTGGTACATCTTTTTACATTGTTCATTTTTGGTTATTTATTAGACATTGAATAGTAAACAAAGTGTGATCCGGTGACATAGTCTAAGCTTTGGCAGAGGACAGCTGGAATCCGGAGCAGACTCCTTCCATATTTTTGCACCAGGTTAATCTTGGCCGTCCTCTGGGCCTTCTGCCGGTCGACTGGGCAATAAGCAATTGTTCCCTCATGCCCAAACCATCGTAGATGTGACATTTCAATTTGAAGAAGCAGCGGCTGTACCATGAGGTTCACGCGGATTTCTACACTCTGGACCAAGTCGAGATGCGTAAGGCCAGCGACTTGTCTTAGAAAGTCATTTCTGCCGCTTCTGAACAGTACATAGTTAATTTATCTATGTGCTGATTCTCAAGGCCAACTCTGAGCTCTGGTCATTGGAGTAGTGACTTTAGAAGGCTTTTTCAAGGCCTTGGTCCCGTACCAATTGGGTGGGCTCCATTGGCTGGATTCAAAGAGATGAAAATGCCAGATGCTGAATATATTCGAACACCTGGTCTTGATTTTGAGAGTTGGCAAATCCAAAATAGTATTTCAACACAATATTTTATTATTAATTTTTTTGAACATGTTTCATTTGCAATGTAATGAAAATTCCCTAAACTATAACATCTGTTGCGAGACAGCTGTCTGTACGGCATTAGGTTTAGCAATTTAGGATAAAAGCCGGCGATGACGAGACAGCATCTGCTAATGTATCAACAAACTAGATTCACATAGTGGAAAGAAGCAGAATAATTTGACAGACAGAACGAATTGAGGCATACTTTGAATGTTCTCACAGTGTCGCCGTCGAAAAATACAGGCTAATAATTCAGTGAGAGCTTGGTGCTGACGAACCTGTTCATGCTCATAAATACATTTGGTTTAGTGAAAAACGCACAGACTATCATCCTGTATGAAATCTCCCAGAGTTCCACTTCCTCGCTAATATAATAAAAATTTAATATAATTATTTGTTCACGATGTTCTGCTGTGAACGACCAACTGCGCTTATGAATCCTTTACATCTAGCCACTGACTAGTAAGCGATATCGCTTCACCAACTTTTGCAGCAATAATGAAACGATGATAGTGAAAATCCGACAGCACTTCGACATCGTTTCACATTTGTAGGATTCATGTTTCTGCTCGACCGATTTTAGGGCATCTTGCAGCTTGCTTGTGGCGTTGCCATTTCCAGATGTAATTATGCAACGGAAGTGCGCACACTTATTGTTTGAGAAAACGCCGCATTAGTCACTGCTTTTGCACCATGCATAAATCGTACCTGAAGTTGCTTTTCAAGTGATTTCATTTGTTTCATCAAATTAAAATTTGTGAGATGAACACGTAATAAAACTGAATGCCATTATTATCTCAGTTGGCATGATAAACGGATGAGTATTCAATGTTCGATTTGGCCGGAAGCACACTAGTTTAAAAATTAGGCAATGATAGAAATTTTCTAAAAAAATATTGTCTTAGTTTAAAGTGTCATTCATCATCCCTTGGAAACACTAATCTTATATTCAATATCTGCAGTCTTTACTAAAAATAGTACCAGTTAACGCTCCGCTCTGCACAAAGTGAGTTTAAGCGTACGGGTTAAAGTAAAAAGAAACAGAGAGTGATTAAA